TGTCAAACACCCACTTGATCAATCATTCCTCTTATCGGTACCTACCCTCCGGAATAAACACTTATAAAAATCCCACTGTACCGTATCTGGCTTGCATCCTGACCAACAAGAAATGAGTTATAAATGAATTACGTCAATCTTTAATGGAATGAATCAAACTTTAGAGACATTTATTTTTTTACACTGAAGTCTATTGAATTTGTTTATACTTCTATATTTTCTCCAATGTGACGACCAGTGTACAACTGTTAACTGACATGTAAGCATATCTCAGCTTGCAAAAGTTATACAAATACAAATACAAATACTTTATCAGACATGGGTAATCCAGCGGAAAATTGTTGATTTGAGCTGAACGGCTGCTATTCGTGAGCTAAATTTGTCCAAACCAACGAATCTCATTTACCCTATATCGCTTGAGCCAAAATGCGCGAAAATTTACGACTGAAGATCGGCACTTGATTGTTCTCATTGCTCATACAGGGAATCTAAGTTTTCGCAACCCCTACTAAGGTTCATTTGTGCTCCCTGAGTTCGGGAATAGAGAGCTTAAAAATTTGCGTACTAAACAAACGGTGACCCGTTTTATGACAGGGACATAGAACTAGGGGGTTGAGTGGTGGAGCCTCAATTATTGGATTGATCCAATCGGAAAAATTAATCAAGAATTCACATCGGAACAAAAAGATTTATATGCTGCGAATCAATTGTTGGATAAAACAAGAATATCATCTTAGACAAACCGTCTAAGGTAAACAGAATATTGCTGATGAAACCATGTGAATACATTGGAAAAGTTATGACAGCTCTACACGACGGAACCAAGTCCACGTGTGGTCTTGGTGGCAAAGACTTACTGCAACAAACTAGGTGCTAAACTAATGGAACTCTGAAAACTGATAGTTGCTGATGCCATTACATACGTCAAGTATACACCCTGAAAGTTGTTTCTTTCTGAGAACACGAATCAGAACGGTGATAGCCGAATTCAGGTGATTGGACGAGAAAGACAGCCTATCAATACCGCTGAAAACAATCCAGCCAACCATTCGTTTTCTACATGTATGTCCACTCTCGTCCCTAAAAAATAAGCGTGTTTTTTACACAAAAAATAATCTTAAATTATTCTGCTTCATTACGAGTGAAATTTTTATATCGAGGGGAGATCATTTGAAAATGCAGTATCCAGACAATGCCGTGCGGTTAAAACATTTTGGCGACGAGGCTAATTTCTACCGAATCCGAACATGAGAAATTTGGTAACCTATCTGCGAGGGATCCTCCGGAAAATCACTCAGGCCTAGTTTGATGTAGCCCATTTAAAACGCCATGCTTGCATAGTTTAAATTTCATATGTCCGATCTGGCTGGTGCTACCCAGCTCAATCCAGTTCTGCAAATTAGTTTGCGATCAGCATGATCGAATCTCATTTGACCACTCAAAGACAGGAATCACGTTCCGATTGTCGTTTAGACGACAGGAGGAAACATTGCTGTGTAGTACTGGATGACTAGTGAAAAATACTAATAACTTTACATAAAGTGAGTATCAAAGAGCGGGAGCGGTATGCAGACAGTATTTTACTTAAAAGTATCCGAGATTTATCAGCTGGTGATACGGTGCAGTTAATCACAGATAATTGTGGCGGAAAGTAATCTTTTTAAACACAACGGGACCAAATGAAGTAAGCAGTGTGTCGAAAAATCGATGGTCCATGTGTTGTTTTATTGTGAACGTTATAGTGTTAATAGCACAGCGATGTCGGTAAAGAATTATATTCGCCTACGTTTCGGTTACCGTGGGTAACCGTCCTCAAGGCAGGTTTTACAATCTATCGTGTGAGTTTCGGTTATGGCGTGAAAAGCGATCACTGAATCTCGTTTTGCCAAAGTTGCTTTGTCTGAAGGCCGGTGTTTTGCTTTTCTCTTGTGTTCGTTTATTCTTGTCTTAAGTTATCTGCTGGTTTGCCTAATGTATTCTGCAAGGCATTCTTTACAACTGATTTTGTAAATGCAGTTGTTTTGGTCTTGTAATTTGATCGGATCTTTGGATTTCATGAGATGGCGTTTCAGAGTGTTGTCAACCCGAAAGAATGTCTGTGGAAATCGCCGAGAATCTTTCTGATTGCCTCTGAAGTGCCTGATCTATATGAAATGCCAATAGAGGCTACACGGTCTTTTCTGTCACTGAGTTGTATCATTGGTTTGTTCGCTTCTATCTGGGATCTTACCAGGAGTGGTGGATAATCATGATTATCCGTTACTCCTATATATATATATATATATATATATATATATTTGTTATGTATTTACTTCCTTTAATTGAATACTTGATGATGCAATTTTCAGGAGGGGGTAAGCGGCCAATCAAACGGGTGTCATACAACACACAAATGAGGAAATTCAGACGGTGGGGGTGGAATCCGAACACACGTCCTCCATGGTGGTAATTTGGTGACGTTACTACCGGGTCACCACCGTTCTGAAAGATGAGCATCTTAATATAAAGTAAAACTGCAAACATTAGGAGTGAGGTTGGAAGTAGAGAAAAACTGTGAAACGTTATCCAAATTGACAGAAAATTGTAAAAGATCTGGAGAATTGGAGATAGCCTGATAAAGAACCACATCATCAGAATATTTGAAGACAGAAGTACGGAGTGCTAGCTGACGAATCGTTGTTATACGTAGAAATTAAGAGCTGTGCCTTGAAGTATTCCGGAGTTGTTCACCAATGGATTTTACTTCTTTTTACCTAGCCTGGTGCACCGAGTTCTCCCAGCGAAGTAATCAATAACCTGGTCTTTTAATGTCTGGGGCAACCGAAGGTTTCCAGTTTATCAGGAAAGGAACAGAAAGAATTCGAATCAAATACAGATGAAAAGTACAGAAGTACACCGTGCACTTATTTCACAGAGTCATTCAAATACTTCCTAGTTTCATGTATAAGTGCGGAAATTATATCCAGCGTGCAATTGTTTAGCTTGTGAACAAACCGAAGAGGATAATACGAAAAACAAGGGGGGCTTAGATATGCGTCCAGCGGAATTTTATAGAATAAGATGGACTCGCATGGCTAGAACGGTGGGATTAGAGGATATTGGAATGGGAACAATTTTTATCGGTCTCTAGCAATCTGGGATAAAACAAGTGCTTAAGTGAGTCTGTGTGAGTGGGTGTTCTAGAATAATGCTCATGTTTCAGCAAAACTATTAGCTCTATAAATCATATGGGAGAATAGAAACCGTCATGACTACTATTGGAGACGTGATTTTCATATTATGCCAAAGCCTAAAAAGCTTTTATTCAAAAACAGTCTTCACTTCAACGGTATCATCCAGAGCAGACGGCATAAGGATGTGGTTAGATGAACGGGTGAAAGCTGTGCTAACTCCGTCCAAATCCGTTGCACAGTCCGGAGTTTTGGCTTTAGACCAACAACGCAACACTTTGGCACTGAACTCACTCATATTGTCAATTGTTTTGTTTTCCCCTTGTTTACCACAATTCTGATATAATTTTGCTTGATCGTTTTTGATTGACTATGTGGCTACTGTTGAATACCCACCTTTCGGGGTGCATAAAGCAAACGCTAGACTTGACTTGACTTGAAAAGTAATCAATGCGTGGAAGAGATGTTTCGTGTGACTGGTGCTATTTGTCCAGTAAATTCCTTGAAGATGGCATGATGCTGAAATCAACCACTGTGCGTGAATGCAATAGTTACGAGGAGAGAAGATTTTGGGATCCGTAAGGTCAGCATCGAACTGAGTTGTTTACCAGTAGTCAAACGGTTTCATAGCCACTTTGTATCCTCTGTTGTTCCACTCCCAGATGTCTTATTCAATTTTGAATACCATGGAAATCCATCGAACGAGTATTCATACACGCACCAAACATGTTACTTATAAATGTGAATATTACTTCACTGTATTACCAGTCAGCATAGCTTGTGTACAAATCTAACTGGATGTAACTGTCAAGTTTACTCTGTCGAATTCTGATTGTGTGATCTGAAATTAACTGTATCCTCTGTTCAATAAACGTTTTCATAATCAATAAGCTGTATCATTTAACTAACCGCTTTTTAATGATATATCGCAGATAACTTCCATGTTAAGGGAACCACTACTTACGGCAGCCGCAAACTTAAAGCATTGGTTAAGAAAAAGGAACAGCTTTCTATTCCAGCTGACTTCTAGGCTCTCTACAATAAACGTTTGATGGTGCGACTGAGGTCCCAGCTTTGAGCGTACATGCTACCTCTGGCTATAAGTACGCAGGTAATTTCTCCAACACAACAGGTATTTGTAAGCACATAATTCGCACCTCTACCAAGTATCTAAAGCTTTAATTTCTCTTGGCTGATAGTCCACTGTCACTCTGACCGTCCCCCCCCCACCCGCCCACTAGTCGTGGATTGTGTNGCGGCCCTCATCTCCAATCGTAAACTGATCGCCTCACAACAATCCAATCCATCCGCTCGACTCACTCTAAACGCGGCCGAGTTCCTGCTCGGAGAACGACTTCAATTTGTCGTCGAGGAGCATTTGAGTCAGGTTTGTCTGGCCCTGAGTGTGTATGCGCGATCCACCGGCAAGCTACAGGACGCGATCACTCTCCTGGGACGTTGCGTGACCGGGCCGAATGGTTTAGCCTACGGTGAAGGATTGGCCCATTGGCAAGCGATCGTGATCCGACGCAGTATGGTCAAAAGAACACACGTACTTTTCTGATCCACCCGCGGAGTATATCTAACGTTTCAGTAGCCATGACTCTCACCTCACCTTACGATGACCTTGTGTTAATAAATGGACCCTCTAAAGTCTCGATGGAAGTCTCTATTTGTTTTGTTGTTATTGTTGTTGTGTTTTATTTAACACAAATCAGGCGTAGAAGGTGTACATGTGACCGTTTGTGATGAGACTCAATGGGGCTAGTAGACAACTATGACGCAGAGCTGTGAGATAGCCCTCTCACATTTGGAGGCATCAGTGCATGGGCTGTTTACCAAAAGCAAATCGGGCACAGATCGGATTAGTTAAGCGATGGGCTGTAACCACCGAGAACGTCCATTAGATAAACAATCCTCTATCGAGAAAAGCTGGCCTGAGACAAGGTTCACTTTTTTCGTCTAGCACTAGGTGTAGATGATTTTTTGCACTCTCATTTGACCGGTCTGGATGCTTGAAATGGTCAAATTTGCAGGCATTCCGAGATCAGTCTGGTAACCACTAAAAACTATAGATGTTGTAACCATGGGGAATGTTCTCCACACACTAGATTCCTAAATGATCGTCTTCCCATAAAGTTTCATGTTCGAAAGTAGCCAAATAGGACACTGATAGGGGCGAGTAGGAGACCATTTATTGTGCAAATGGCACTTATTTATGAGGACGAGAGTGGATAAGGGGATGTAAATACGGAATGATTGGTTGACTGAATCGTTTTCAATCGTCGCGGATTCCGATCAGTCACTTGAGTTATGCAATTCCTTTTCTTATTATAGGTCCCAAAACGAAGCAGTTTTCGGAAATTATGCTGAATCTCTGACAATAAGTATGCATGTTTTATGCAATGAGCTAAATTGATGCATTTCTGAGGTAATTTTATTTGTGCCCTGATCGGGGAGTCACCGATTTAGCATATCATGCAATCCAATGGCAATCAGTTCGCTGCTTGCAGTTTCTGTCTCATAAGTCCAGCTGAAAAATGCCACACGCAGTTGGTGTTCAAGCGTGTTGGAGGGAGGGGGAGCCCGTAGAAACAACTTAGTTGCGGCAGTGATCAACTGGAAAACGTCAAAAGCTAGTCTTACGCACGCAGGAAACACAGTGAGTGCTGAGCTACTTTACTTCTGTGTGAAGCATGGATCTACAGAAATTGGAAAATCGTAACATTTACGATAAATTCAAACGGACTTAAGCCTAGGCCATTTGAAGCCAGCGTACGGTGTATTATGCAAGACCGATCCCGGTTCTGAATCCACTCGAAAACACTGGCAGGTTAACAGCGGGTGACGCAGTCCCAGTTTCCATACAATTAGCGTCGTTCCAAAAGGCTTCACAATTCCTGGCCGCTCACCGACGCTCTCAATACGCAGATGGGACATGCTTCTCATAGTAGGTTTTACGCGGAGGGAGCTCTCAGACGACTTATAACACAGGGAAACTACAAAAATAACCCTGAACCCAACGTTCCAGTGACACTTACACATGACTCACACTCAATTCAAACTGGATGTGTCCGTGTCTTCACTACAACGGACAATTTCAAACGTAGCGGTAAGAATGGCGTGTAAAACCAAGACGGAAGTGTACAGTTACAAACATCGAAAAACAGAACAATAGTAAACAGTTACTGATCAAATTACCGTTCAATGTTGGGATTCTATCATTTGACATTAAATTTTGCGTGTAGCGCAGTCGGTAGATATTGTCATTTATTGACAAGTATTGAAAATCGGTTCTCGTAACTCGGGTGAACTGAGTTTAATTTCGCCTGTTCGCTGAGCTTGGCAATTTGTTTGCAAGCGTTTCATCTCCATCCGAGGTGACATCATCGGTGCTTGTGAAGTGGCAGTGTTCTGCTTGTACCCATTCGTTTATATATGTGTTTTTCTCCACCGACTGTTTTATTGTCCCTTGTTCTCGACTGTGTTCGACTAGGTTCATCGTTGAACTGGTGCGAGGGTATGAAGATGGGATGGGACGAGGTTGTCCGTCCGTCCTGATTGCGATTCGCAGGTCAGGGCGTGAATTTTTGTTGTGTCATTTGATCCCTCATTTGCATTGGCATGTGCACGTGATCCAGTTCAATGTGCCTGTTTATTGAACTGAGTGAAGAATGACAAATCTTGAGAAATTTTGTGATATATTTTGATCGGGCTTGGTCGATGATTTGAACTGATTCGAGGTCAAACTGATGTCTTTCTTGGCCTTTATGGGGCGAAGTCAATGACAGTGGGCCATGTCTCCTGATTGCCGACTGGTGTTCTATGATGCTTGTTAATAGTTTTCATCCAGTTTGTTCGATATAGTGTTCTGGACAGTCCTTGCAGTGTATTCTCTAGAAAACAATGCTCTTTTCCTTCTCCATTGATCTCTGCTTTGGTTTTGACCAAAGTCTCATTAGACAGATGATCGGTTTGTGGGTAACTTAGATTCCATATGATCTGAGAAAACTTGTCGTCATTTCCGAAACGTCGTTGATGTGCGGCAGGGTCGTTCTCGTTCTTTCGTTCTTTGAGTCAGAGTTCTTTTGATGAGGTTACGGGTGTATCTATCGCGAGCAAATACTCTGAAGTGCGTTTGGATACTTCCAAACAGGGTTCTAACACAGTGAATACAGTGAGAACAAGTGACAACAAAAATAGTCGGTGGATAAGAACGCATATATAAACGAGCGGGTACCAGTAGAACACTGCCACTTCATAAGCACTGATGATGTCACCTCTGCTGGTGATGAAACGTTTGCAAACAAATTGGAAAGCTCGGCGAACGGACGAAACAGAATTGTCATTTTTAAATGCTTACTACTTGATTAAATGCAGTAGCCAAAATATGAACACAAAAATTCAAACGTTCATCTAGAGAATTTACGGCGTGAAAGTTTAACATTGTGCCATAACTGAGTCACATTTTTCTTTCTCCTGGTTCGAAGACAGCAAATAGTAGTGTGGTGTATTTCTCTACCCATCGGGTTCGAAGATTTTTCAACTGATAAACCTGATTCCCTCTCGTGTACATGTGGGTGTGTGGAATAGAGTGAGGGAAAGTTGAGTATGGTGAACAGGTTAGAAAAACGTCTTTATTTGGCTGAAGGTTATCAGAATGGCACGTAAATTTGATTCGAAGGGCATTTCACACGGTCACACTCCATCTCAATTGAGATGAAAGCAATGCCAAATTGCTGGTGGCGTGTTCGAATCGCAGGAACAAATTCCCTCAAATCGGTCATCAGCTTCCTCAAAAAATTTTGCTATTGTTCAATCGAGTAAGGAATTATGGATTCCGGAAAGGAACCCTGGGTGACATACACTATTCAGGATATCAACTCAAACGCGGACAAGAGGAATGGAATAAACCGTTTGCATTGTTTGGAGTTTCAATCCCCTTGGCGTGTGGTAGTGAATATGACAAGCGCGAAAACAAACCGTTCGCCACAATTACATTCCACTCTGAAACGAAACAACTTGATGGTTCTGCATGCCACTTTAAAGTGCCAACACAAGTGCATATTCAGTCGGTTGTCGTTGTCGGCTTAGCTAACTATTTTTGAGGTAGCATGCGTTGTAAACAAAAGAACAGAGTGGTGAACAAGCTCGTTTACAAAAATTCATATTCATGTCAATACATCTCGAAAAATATCACCATTTGGGTGTTGAATCCGTGTTGATCACCTACTACTATCGTCCCCGCGTATCCAGTTTACTCTGTTCCATTTGTACTTTTCCTTACTTCACCCTTGAGGCTTGTTCCTCTTTATCCATCTTATTGTGTCACATGTCTGAGCCGATCCACGAATTTATTGATCGAATTGATTGTTTCTCACCCTCACCCTTTGTGTCAGTGACCCATGTCACCGCTGTTCAGTTGACAAAGCCATCGATCGATATATGACACTTTCTTTCTCGTCCATTGTACCCCGACGCGAACACTTGACCACCTGCAGGTACCTTCGTAATTCACACACCAGCGTGACCGGGAAGTTACATGCGTGAATTGATGTACACACACACACACACTACACCAGAACCCACTCATCGCCACCAGTCCCATTGGTCGTCTCTTCTCTTCCATTTGATTGGTTCATTGTCGGTCTTCAGATCTTTTGCGTATGTCTCTCCCTATTCATTCTGACCGTTGATCTTGATCGATCTGCACGTGTAAGCAGTCGTTGAGTTGAACGCATTGACAGCCATTGAAGCCTCTTTTTGACACAGCAAAACGCTGTCTTTCTCTTGGTATGTTGTTGTAATTTAATTCCCCATTTTGTTCTTAAGACGCACTATCTTTCGATTGTGCCTTGACAGTGCAAGCTCGCACTCACCGAATTGCCTCACGATTCGAGGTTTGTAACTTTTATTCGTAATCATGTTTCTCATAATAGTACCGCATTTCAAGAGAATCTCGTCTTCTGTTGACTTCGGGATTAGCGCGTCACTCGATCGTTAGGACGGATTACCAGTGTGCAATCCACATTACAGAATCTTCTCAAGGGATTCTACGTTGGGAATAAGATTGTCTTGGGAAGATAAAATAAAATAAAGTCACAGATTATTAGAAACGATTTCATCGTGAGAGAGAAAATCGGATTTACAATGATCACGTATTTATTTGTTCATTCATCTGATCACCGAGATTACTCGTGATGCGATGTGTATGGACTTGGGTGGGTCAGGGAAGATATTAGCGCGTGTACAAATTGTTTTTGTGCACACAAAGAGGGGTTGTGCAAACGAATGCCCACCGCTTCTTCTGTAGCCAACATCCGACAGCGAACCTGCCTCGATAGTTGCCCACTAACTTTACACAGAGGGCTTGGAAAGCCTCGGACAAGTCCACAGTGTGATTTGTTTCAGCTGGGTATGAAACCACTGCACTGGTGAGTGACTTAATCGTACCGGCGTTCAGCCACGGAGGGTGGTATTCAAGTCAAGTATTTGCTTTATGCACCCCGAAAGTTGGATATTCACATAGTCATCTAACAATTATCGAACAAAATTATTACATAA